CAACCAACTGTCCTTAATCTAGATACAGAAGAGTCAGGTGTCTGCTAGGAGTTGAGTTAACCCTTACGTGTCTGGTTATATATTAGGGAACTGACAATTTAGACACCATCTCTGGACAGGTAGGAAAAAGACATAAACCAAAAAGACAGATTTTGACATAATTGTTGTGGCCGTGACTCCTTCTTCCCATACAAGCATCTTCAAAGAGATAAATACTTCTTGGTTTTGTTCTTTTATGTCAAGAGTACGGTGTAAATTGTTAGAATAAGAAGTAAATTTTGCAAGGTCACAGAAAACCAATTGTGTTACTACGCACTTGCAGTGAACAATCCAAAAATGAAATTAAGAAAAACAATTCCATTTACAATAACCTCAGAAGGAATAAAATGCTTGGTAATAAATGTAGCAAAAGTAGTGCTGAACTTATACTCTGAAAATTATAAAGCGTGATTAAAATTAAAGATATAAATAAATAAAAATGTCAATACTCCCTGGCCTGATCTACGGATTCCATGCAATCTCCGTCAGAATCCCAGCTGAATTTTTCATAGATATTGACCAACCGATTCTATAATACATGTGGAATTACAAGGGACACAGAATAGCCAAAACAATCTTTAAAAAGAAGAATAAAGTAGGAGAACTCAGACTTCCTAAATTCAAGACTTACAACAAAGCAACAGTAATCAAGATGGTAAGGTCCTGAATCCAATGAAATGGAATTGAAAGTCAGAAAAAAAAAAATCACGCTGTTGCCAACCGATTTTCAACGAGAATGCCTAGACCACTTAATGAAAAAAATGATTCAGTCTTTTCAACATAGTGATGTTGGCATGAGTGGTAATCACATGCAAAGGATCCCATTAGCTGGATTCAATTATTCGTCACTCAGCAAAATCACAAAGAGAGCACCAGAACCTAGATCTCACGCCAATGAAGCATAGCTGTCCAGTTCATTAATGAGCTTCATGCAGGTTTGTTTTCATCCTGCCATGAATATTTAAGATTAGAAGCAGTTGAAGGGTTTCTTGTTCAACCACAGGTTTAAACCTGGCTCTGCTATCTTAAAAAAAGAAAGGGGGGGGGGACAGGAAATGATTGTGAATGAAACAGCAGGAGAGCCACGTGTCCCAGGAGAGCCTGACAGAAGATGAACTTCAGTGGTGAGATGGTCACTCTGACCCCTTGTTCACATCTGCACCCGAGACACAGACCAACAAGGAATCTTCATTCCAGAAACCAGACTGAACACTTATGATCAATACATATTTAGCTCGATGTGCAATTGAACTACTTTATCAAAAGACCGTGGCCGGGGCGCCTGGGTGGCTCAGGCAGTTAAGGGTCCGACTCGTGGTTTCAGTTCAGGTCTTGATCTCACAGATCTTGCGATCAAGCCCCACGGCAGGGTCCGTGCTCAGCAGGGAGTTTGCGTGTGATCTTCTCCCTCCAGCCTCCCCCTCCCCCTTGTACACTCACTTCTCTCTCTCAAATAAATGGATAAATCATTAAAAAAAAGTGTTAAAATTTGCCCTAAGGAAAAAGAATAAGGATGTGCATGAGTAGGTAGCTAGGAGGTTATTTGTTGAAGCTTTGTTCATGAAAATAGAAAACAGGAGGCTCTCTGGGAATGTCCAGTGACAGGGCAGGCGGGGAAATCGGTCACACATACCCACCCCCATGGGGCCAGCAAACAGGGACGTGACCGCATGTTTCTTATCCCAGGATGATGTTCACCCCAGGTTATCGGATCGTCCGGGGCGGGAGTGAACAAAGACACAAGATGAGAAAATGTTTTGTCCAGTGTCGTCCGAGCTGTAAAAACTTGCCTGTACGCTTACAAGTGTGATTATACAGGTACGAGGTCTGCTCCTGCACAGAAAACAAAGGAAAAAAAAAAAAGGCTTTCCTGGATTCTCTCCGTTCTCGCTGCTGGGAACGCCTCCCTTTCCCGCCCCTCCCCTCCCCTCCCCTCCCCTCCCCTCCCCTCCCCTCCCCGGGCCCGCCCGCTCCCAGCTCCCCGCCGCCCCGCCCCCATGCACCCGCCGGCCGTCCGCGCTCCGGAGCCAGCGCCGGGCGCGAGGGGGCGGAGACGTGTGCTGACGTCATATGGGCCGCCCGCCTCCGATTGGCCACCGCCGCCTCACCAGACCGCGAGCGGGCGGGGCGGGGCGCACGGAGGGCACAACCCCGGACGGTGGCCAGGGCGGGGTCACGTGACCCGGGCCCCTCCCCCCGCCTTCTAAGCCTCTCCCTGCGCCCTCCGCCCCGCGCCCAGCTCCACGCGGTCCCGATCGCGACCTCTTCACCCCCCCCCATCCCGCCCGCTGGCGCCCCCCCGGACAGGTACGCGGGGCGCGTGGGGACTCCGGGGCCGGAGGGCCGGCGGCCACAGTGGACACATGCTCAGCCCCGCGGCGCCGGCGGCCCGCCGCGGCCCGGACCCCGCGCCCGCTCACGGGCCTCGCCTGGTGCAACGGAGCCTGGTGCTGTTCTCGGTGGGGGTCGTGCTGGCCCTGGTGCTCTACCTGCTGCAGGTGCAGGGGCACGGCCCCGTGTTCCCCGAGGAGGCCCTCGCCACCGTCTTCTCGTCGGCCTGGTGGGTCCCGCCGTGCTGCGGGGCGGCGGCCGGTGAGTGCAGCGGGGGTGGGGGTGCGGGTGCGGGTGCGGCTCGGGGGCGCCGGGCCGGCCTCCCGCCGACCTGGCCCGGGGGCCGCGCGCGCCGAGCCCGCCGCCGTGCCCGGGCTGAGCGCACCCCGGACGGGCGGCGGGCGGACTGGTGAGCGGCCCGGCCCGGAACACGCCACCCGGCGGCCACCGAGGACAAAGGGGCACGTGGGCCCCGCCGGGCGGGGGGGGGCGGGGCGGAGGGGACGCCCGGCGGGCCGCGGGGGGCGCCGGCAGACTCCGTGCGCGGGGGCCGCTGACTTCTGGGGCACTTGTTCTTTTTTTTTTTTAATTATTTATTTATGATAGTCACAGAGAGAGAGAGAGACGCAGAGACACAGGCAGAGGGAGGAGCAGGCTCCATGCACCGGGAGCCCGACGCGGGACTCGATCCCGGGTCTCCAGGATCGCGCCCCGAGCCAAAGGCAGACGCCAAACCGGTGCCCCACGCGGGGATCCGCAGCATCATCCGCATTTTCATCGAAGGTTTCACGTCTAAGAAGGGCTTCTGGACCCGTCTAGGCCGCCGGGAAGCAGACACAGGCCGACAGCTCCGTCTCCGCGCCGGGCATCCACCCACCTAGGCCGGGGAGCAGGTGCGCTGACCGTCGGGCGCCGCAGAAGCGGGCCACACAGGAGAGGTGGGGGCTGTGGGACCCAGGAAATGTAACGACAGTGCCCGACCCCTGGACGGGCAGAGCAGGACTAACCAACCCCATTTTGTGCTGCCCCCGCCGTCTCCTGTAAAACGCCCCACACGACCTGCCTGTTGTTTAAGGCACTGCCTCGCCCTCGTTGGGCTATGAGGCGCACCCTGACCCTGATGGGAGACCCGCGCACCTAGGATCGCGGACCTCTGACCTTTAACCAGCCCAGGACTGCGAGCCCTGTCTTTTGCCGCCGAACCTGCGCGCGTCCTAACCAGGACACCAGGCTAGTCCAGGTGGCCCCTGTAGGGCGGATCGTGACTCCATCGGCCACCTGCGCGCGGACCCACCTGGCTGCGCGACGTTCCGCGTGTGCTACCACCTCCCTGGGCACGGACCCCTAGACACGGCCGTGCTCCTTCGCCTCGGGGTCCAGGCCCCTGCTCGTCCGCGTGGAGCGCGCCTGGACCCAAGCTCCAGCTCACAAATAAACCCTCATGCACTTGCGTCGGCGTCGCTCCTTGGCGGTTTCTCGGACCCGCGATCTTGGGCACAACAGGGGCCGCGTCAGGGGACGCGGCAGGTGCAGCGCCATCACCTGCTGCCGGCGCGGTGCCGAGGCGGTGTTAGCAGGGGACGCCACCGTGCGCCATGCCCGGGTAGCACCTGCCGCCCGCTCCCCCTCCCCTCTCCCCTCTCCCTCCCTCCCTCCCCTCCTCCCCTCCCCTCCCCTCCCCTCTCCGGCCAGCCCGCTCCCAGCTCCCCGCCGCCCCGCCGCCGTGCACCCGCCAGCCGTCCGCGCTCCGGGGCCAGCGCCGGGCGCGAGGGGGCGGTGACGTGTGCTGACGTCATATGGGTCGCCCGCCTCCGATTGGCCACCGCCGCCTCACCAGACCGCGAGCGGGCGGGGCGGGGCGCACGGAGGGCACAACCCCGGACGGTGGCCCGGGCGGGGTCACGTGACCCGGGCCCCTCCCCCCGCCTTCTAAGCCGCGCCGCCCGCCCAGCGCCCAACTCCACGCGGTCCCGGCCGCGACCTCCTCCCCCCCCCTTTCCCGCGCGCGGGCGCCCCCCCGGACAGGTACGCGGGGCGCGTGGGAGACCCCGGGGCCGAGGTCGGGGCGGGAGCCGGGGGCGTGGGGACCGGGTTGGAGCTGCACGCCCGACCCCCGCGGGTCGGCTCGGCGCCCTCCCCTCTGCCCGGGGCCCGGGTAACGTGTGCTGCGCGCGGACGGCGTGTGGGACACTTTGGGGCCGGACGGGCCAGCGCTGGAGGCGCGTGCGGAGGGCCCCGGGGCCGCTCGGAGCTGGCGGCCCGTCCCCGACGCCTGGCGGCCGCCGCCCACATCCCGCATCCCGCAGCCCCGCGCCCCCCAGCGGGCACCCGGCGGGACCTGGGCGCGGGCCGTGCCGTCTGCGGGCGGGCGCCCAGAGCCAGCCCCGGCTCCCGCGCGAGCCGCGAGGCCGCACATCGCCCCCCGCCCGACGGCCGCCCGGGATGCCGCGACCTTGACGGGCCCCGCCCCTCTCCCTGCAGCAGCGCCGGCCGCCCCCGGGGAGGGACCGACCGACGGACGCCCAGGCTGGACGACCGCTGCCGGAGCTGTGCGTGCGCCCCGGGCGCCAGGCACCGAGGCCTCCCTCCCGGTGGCCGGGGCCGGAGGGCCGGCGGCCACAGTGGGACACATGCTCAGCCCCGCGGCGCCGGCGGCCCGCCGCGGCCCGGACCCCGCGCCCGCTCACGGGCCTCGCAGCGCCGGGGCGGGGGGTCGCGGCGCTGGCGGCGGCTCCCCCGCCAGCTGGCACCGCCGCCTGGTGCAACGGAGCCTGGTGCTGTTCTCGGTGGGGGTCGTGCTGGCCCTGGTGCTCTACCTGCCGCAGGTGCAGCGGCACGGCCCCGTGTTCCCCGAGGAGGCCCTCGCCACCGTCTTCTCGTCGGCCTGGTGGGTCCCGCCGTGCTGCGGGGCGGCGGCCGGTGAGTGCAGCGGGGGTGGGGGTGCGGGTGCGGGTGCGGCTCGGGGGCGCCGGGCCGGCCTCCCGCCGACCTGGCCCGGGGGCCGCGCGCGCCGAGCCCGCCGCCGTGCCCGGGCTGAGCGCACCCCGGACGGGCGGCGGGCGGACTGGTGAGCGGCCCGGCCCGGAACACGCCACCCGGCGGCCACCGACGACAAACGGGCACGTGGGCCCCGCCGGGGGGGGGGGGGCGGAGGGGATGCCCGGCGGGCCGCGGGGTGCGCCGGCAGACTCCGTGCGCGGGGGCCGCTGACTTCTGGGGCACTTGTCCTTTTTTTTTAATTATTTATTTATGATAGTCACAGAGAGAGAGAGAGAGAGAGGCAGAGACACAGGCAGAGGGAGGAGCAGGCTCCATGCACCGGGAGCCCGACGTGGGACTCGATCCCGGGTCTCCAGGATCGCGCCCCGGGCCAAAGGCAGGCGCCAACCCGCTGCGCCACCCGGGGATCCCTGCGGCACTCGTCCTGCTCCCGCGCCCACGCGTGGTCGGTCTCGGCTCGGCCCGGAGGACCGCTTAGCGCCCCCCCAGCGGCACAGCCTCCCTGCACACGCGCGGTGTCAGGTGTTTCCTGCAGCCTCGCCAGCTGAGGAGGAGAGATCGGGCGGGCCCAGCCCTCGGCCCCAGCCCTCGGCCCCAGCCCTCGGAGCCACGCTCTGCTGGGCGGAGCACAGGTGCCCCTAAGTGGGACAGCCGTGGCGGGGGTGCCGCGCTGTGGGCTGTGTGTCCAGCCCTGATGGGCGGCCTGCCGTGGGTTTTACGTGCTTTGCCTGTTCACTCCTTACCACAGTGCTCTGTGACGGCTCCATTTCGCGGATGTGGAAACTGGGTGCAGAGACTTTAAGCATCCCTGTCTAAGGGGACGCAGTAAACGGCAGGCCGCTGTGCATCACTCTGCACACTGCCTCCCTGGAGCCTCGGGGTGTCCCCTGCACTGTGGACACACATCCTCTTTGCAGCGGACTGGCTGAGAACAGCTGCATGGCACAGGGCTGGGAGTGGAAGCTGTGTCCTGGCCAGGGCACGTCAGTCACTGCCGGGTGAGCGGTGGGGGTGGAGCACCCACTCAGTGGGTACAGTGCCTTCATCTCTGCTCTTAGAAAGGTAGGGTCCTCCTTTGCCTTTCTAAATCCTTAAATCACACAGCTATCCTATTAAAAATCCTTTTTGAGAAAGTCACCTAGAGCAGATCCCACCTTTCATGCACATTCGGTACAGCAGTTCTTTCTCTGAATCAAAAATTCGGTCTTAAAAAGGAAATATTGTAGGTTAGGTTTTATTTGCAATTGAAGCGTCGAGGAATTCTGCGCTCTCTCAGTTTCTCATACCTCCTTAAAAAAAAAAAAATTACCATATAAGCATAGGGCAAAATTCTTCAGTACGGTTGTGCCTCTTTACCCTTTCACCTTAAAAGGCAAGATTAAGTTACAGCTAAATAAGTTATAGAATTGTTTGGGTTTCAGTTTTCAAGACTCTTAAAATTAGAATTTGATAAACTGTAAGACAAACTTGAAACTGAAACGCTCAGTTTCACTGATTATTTTCACCACAACTGTGTCCCTTATTTGTCCAGGAACCTGAACGAGCTACTCCTTTCCTAGGACAGCAGGTGGAACTGCTCCGTGGCTCTCAAGCCTCTGCACTTGGCATCTTTAAGTGCTGAGCCCCATGTCCCCCAGTTGGTCCCATGGGCCGGGATCCCCAGCAGCCTCCAGGCACCCTGTGTGTTCCCTGCCTTTACTATGTCCCGGAGGCCGCACCCTCCCCCTGTCTAAGTTCTCTGTGTCCTCTCTCCTTTAAAAATCTGTGCCTGTGAAAACTCCCTAACTCTTCCTCCTGCGCCTTCTGCTTACATAACCCTTGTCATTTTACACATGAGGAAACACACATGAGGATCCAGGTCCCATCAGAGCCCACAGTGAACCAGGGGCCTGGTTCCCTGGGCCTGGTCCCGGGCTGTTCCCACAGGTCAGGACCTGGACTCACAGGGGTGGCTCCGCATGGCTGACTGGTCACAGCATTATATGGATAATTAACCCCCCCCCCCACACGGCCTGATTGAGTTCTGTGTCTAATTAAACTGAAGAACAGCGATTTTTCAAAAACAGTGTGATCCTTTTGTTTGTCGTCCAGGAAGACGAAACGAAAAAAAGCCCGACAAAAATTAGTCTTGATTCAAATGCTGTATTATAGCATATATGTTTTCTAGGAAAAGAACTGGTTTGAATCATCTGTTAATCGCACTTACAAGTCCTGTTGCCGTAGAGCTGGCGTGTTCTCATGTGTGGGGTTGTTTTCTTTGGCAGCCGTGGTGGGCTTGCTGTACCCCTGCATCGACAGTCACCTGGGAGAGCCACACAAGCTTAAGAGAGAGTGGGCCAGCGTGATGCGCTGTGTGGCTGTGTTTCTTGGCATCAACCACGCCAGCGCTGTATCCTTCAGAGGACGTGCTACGACCAGGGCATTTCCTTAGGTTATATGTTGAAGCACTTTTTTACTTCTAACGAGTAGATGTTATCTCACGGGTTAGTGGAATGATCTTCTTCCAACTATTTTATTTCAAAGCATATTGCTTGGTGTATAGGGTTTTCAGAATAGTTCAGGAAACTGTTGAAATAATACGAGAAGCGGAGTGGACTTTCTGTTTCGTCAGACAGTAGCTCCTGGTTCCTTGGAATTGGTTTTAGGAATTCTTTTACGTTTCACCCTCATAATCTTCCATTAAGAAGACCTGGTTTCCGTGGCCCAGTGAGAGGAGGCCAAGGGTCCCTGTTCCTGGGGAGGGGTTTTTTTAGATGGAGACTAATGTGGTACATACTAATGACAACATGGATAGGATCTGAGTTGCTTTGTTTGCTTGTTCTGTTGGTTTTTTTCCTTTGGCTTGTTTTGAGCATCTTAAAAATCACCGGACTTGTCCTTAACCTTGCATCACCAGAAATTGGATTTTGCCAATAACGTCCAGCTCTCCTTGACGTTAGCAGCCCTGTCTTTGGGCCTCTGGTGGACATTTGACCGTTCAAGAAGTGGCCTTGGGCTTGGGATCGCTATTGCCTTCCTGGCCACTCTGATCACTCAGCTGCTGGTGTACAGTGGCGTCTATCAGTAAGTACGTTCTCTAGCATATCTGTGTCGCCTAGAAGCTATGACTTCACTTTTATTAAAAACGCCCACTGAGCCGAGATGCCGTATTTTTTTAATACGTGATGTTGACTTAGGCATGAAATAATCACAAATACTTACTGTTGATGCCCATGTTAAAAATGTACCACCCATAACTTACCGTAGGGAAGCGAAGCAGTGGCAGTAAGCGCAGCAGTGAGACGGGACTGTCCTGCGGCCCGTTGTGGCTGCTGCGCATCGTGCGTCTCCCCACTGGTGGACTCTCCCCCGGAGGCCAGCCAGGCTCGGGGAGACTGACTGCTTAGGTACCATCTCTTCTGCTTTCTCTGCAGATACACGTCCCCAGACTTGCTCTACATCCGCTCCTGGCAGCCGTGTATCTTCTTCTCAGGAGGCGTCACCGTGGGCAGCATAGGACGGCAGCTGGCGATGGTAGGTCCTGCGGCGGTCTGTTCCCAGTGCATGATCGCTCGCCTGATAAAGTGGCTGCCCACGAGTCATTGTAATGTGTGGTTGAGACCCAAGAACAACAATTACAGAGAAAAGCATAAATTAAAAAAACAAAAACCAATGATACCAAGGCAACTCTTTGCTAAATGATAAAGATTTGGGGTTTGTGAACTCATGAAGAACTAGGAAGCAGCCAGGGTTGGCGGGTGACCCCTCATGTTACAGATGCATTCAGCAACCTCTCTAGGCTCTCAACGAGTCCAGTGGCTGGCAGATAAAGTCACTGAAATGGCTAATAGTTGATGATGACGAGGTGTCCGCCGTCCATCCCACGAGGGCAGGAGATGCAGCAGAGGCCCTGCACCCAGGTTGAGGCCTGGGTAGACGGGCCCTGCACATCCCGGGCTGGGGGACCTGGCTCAGCCTCCCTGGAAGCCCTGCCATCGGCCGTAGAGGGGGTCACACGGCTTGGAGCCATTGACCATTCCTTGAGACCTGGAAGGGCAGAGGGAGTCAGGGATGATTTAGGTGGTTCTACCTTCACATACAGTAGTAGTTACACTTTCACATTGGAACACATTAGTACGAGAAAGTTCTGTCAGGAGTTGACTTTGACTCTAGGGCTTTAGTAAAACGAACGGAAGAGAATTGCTGAGTCTTACGAGGGCCACTGCCCTCACATCAGCCCTGGGGCTTTCTCAGAAAACTTATCTCAGTCCCTCAGGCTATTTATAGAACAGGACATTTATTTGTGCCAGCTGATACTCACTTGTGGGAGCTGAATTTGAAGGCCACTTGGCTGTTTGACAAAAATAGAACTAATTTCAGAAAGACACAATGTGTAGTGTGTCCCACTGGTTCTGGAGTTCACCGTCCCTCCCTCCATGCCTTGCAATTCTGTGGAGCCAGTGCCCAAAATGGGAACTCAATGAAAGTACGGTTTCTTGCAGCCCCAGTGAGGGTCAAAGGACTTGGCTTGCTTATTTTGACTCTTGCAGCCTCACATGAGACACCCATGCACCGGCTCCCTCCCATGCGGCCCGCTGACTAGTCGTCCGACTAGAACCAGGCAGGCCCACGTCACCGGGTTGTATCTGTCCACCACCTGTCCTCTGTCCGTCCACCGGTGCTTGTTGCGTGCGGCTTCTGTTTCAGTAGCTTCGGTAGAGAACTCCTAATGTGGCTTTTGGGGTAAAACTGCTGTCAACAGGGTGACTTCATGAAACAAAAACCTGAATGACGTTCAACAGGTTGCACGTTGTGGTTTCAGGCTGCTCGGCTGGTGCTGTTATGCGTTTGCAGGGAAGGGTTAAGCCGGGGTTGGGAAGTGAGCATTAGTCCCGTAGAGGTAGTGACTTCCACGGGTACGAGTTATACGCACCGAGAAATGGTCAATGGTTGGAGGGAACTGATTTGAAGAGTCCTACATGTCACACCTTTGAAAGTACCGCTGCTTATAGATTGTGTTAGCAGATGTCCCTTGCGCCCCCCCCGCCCCCCGTCGTTATGGTGGAAATATCAGAATTAAGTGAAAGTTTGATAAAGGTAAGTTTTAAACATAAAGCAAGCGAGCCAGAGTTGCACTTCTCCTTACTGAAGCTTGCTCTTCCCTAGACTTTACAAGTGGAGAGACTTATGTAAGGACGTTCTCATACCTTGAAACGTGGGGAGCGATAGTCACCTCCCCTCCCAGGTCATCAGAGTGAGCGGGCGTCTCGAGGCTCTGCGCCCACCCCGTGCACCACTGTTCCTGTCCTCGAGAATGGAAACCCTTCCTTCCCCGTGGGTCCCAGCTGCAGGGAAGGCTGGCAGAGTCCTCAGAAGTGGGGGCTCCCTGCACTTGGACCAGTGGCACCACCAGCCACACCCTGTGGTTGCCCCCGAGATGAGCTGCTGACAGCAAGTGGCTGCTCCTGGCCACTCGAGGGTGGGGGCAGCCCAGTCCCCGTTCTCTAGGTGGAGAGCATGGGATGAGGGTGAGCACATGTGAAACTGCTGGCCCTCATGCCCCCAGCCCTGTTAGTGCTGGAGGAAGCCAGGAGAGTCGTGCTAGAGTGGAGCACAGCTTCTGGAAGCTTCTGGCTTCGTTGCGTAGGGGTGTTATGGAGGCCTGAGAGCGGGGAGCCAGGCATTAAGGCCACTTGTATAGTCCAGGTCCATCTGGACTGGCAGGCAGCCCTGGCCCCCGAGGTGAGGATGGCCTTGTGGGAGTTGGGGGGGGGCATCTGTAAGGGGTCAGGAGCCCCTTACAGGAGCCGCTGCTTCTGGAAAGTAGAACTGCACATGGTTTGTAGGGTCTGTTTGATTTTTCTCATCTTTGTTAAAAAAAAGTTACAGCAAAAATGATAGTTTTGTAATGTAAAGCGCAGGTGATGGGTGTAGGAAGTGATAGTGTAGACTGCGGAGGGCGGTGGTGAGGGAGCCAGGGAGGTCCGCTGTGAACACGTGGGGCCCGCTCACCTAGACGTCGCTGGAGGTCCCTGGGATGGAGGCCTTCCTGCCCTGCCACCACCACAGCCGCCCAACACCCACCCTGACTTGGCTCCTGGAGGGTGAAGCCTTCCCGGACACCACCCTGGCATTGCGTGGCAGTTGACGCCCTGCCGCTTTGATCCTCTTGACCTCCATCCCTGGAAGTGTGTGCACACGAGTCTCGTGGAAGCAAGAGAGTCTTACAAAAGTGGACCCGGGGAATCTTTGGCAGAATGCACCTGCAGCCAAGGGAGTCCTCTGGCTGCGGCGGTGAGGGTGCGGGACCCGGGCCCTGTCTGCAGTGGTGCTGCTGCGACAGCAAAGTACATGAAGCTAAAATTGCGTCCCGCCTGCCGGTAGAGCTGGGAGTGCGGGAAATTATAGCTGTCTCAGGCTGCGGCCTGACCGACGAATAAAATACGAATCCTGATCCAGGTGCCCTGCCTGACCAGGTGTTTGGGGGGCTTCTCCCTTGATGCTGCAGCAGCAGCTGGCCCAGGAGGCTGCTGGGAGGACCTCAAGGGCTGGGGGCCCAGAGCCCTCCCCCTGGGGCAGCCTGCACCCTGACGGCCCGGGCGAGTGGGTCCTGTGGTGTGAGTGTGAGTCTGTGGGTCCCTGAGCTGTCAGCCTTGGAAAATGCTTCTGTGGCATCTTGAATGTTGGCGCCATGATGTCAAGTCCTCCCTGGCTAGAACCTTCCCCCTCGGGTGCACCCCTGCCTTTAAAGACGACAGGGAGTTAAGAGGTTTTTCAGGGAGAGTCTGAACGCTTGAGCCTGCCTCCTTAGTTGTTACCCTGCTTCAAAGAAGCAGAAAGAACAACAGCTTTCTTATGTGTAAAAACAGGCTCACGGTGCTCAAACCTGGAAAAGCCCTTCCCGTGCTTACCTGCAGGGAGCTGCCCGGCGTCCGGAACGGGGCTGCCAGGCGGGTGGCTGTGGCTCTGGGCCGCCCTCGCCAGAGGCCTCCGCCCTCAGGCTGCTGGTGGCGCGGGGCCCGGGCTTGTGGGGGCGCTTTCTCAGAGCGAACCCCTGATCCAGGACGGACACCTTCGCCCCGAGGGCCTCCGACGGCCCTGCTCACCCACGCTCCTCGGGCTCCTTCTCCGTCCTTGCCGTCGGCTCCCTGCCTCAGGGAGACACATGCTCATTTGCCGGGGTCGCTGGGTCCCAAAGCCGCAGATGGGCCTACTCCCATCCCGTGGCTCAGGGCGCTGCTGTGGCAGCTGCGCGGCCACCCAGGTGTTCCAGAGGAAATGACGCGTCTCTGCGTTTGTAGCTTCGAATCTTTGGAAACGTGGAGGCTTTGAGCTGCCCCAGGAAGGGGACGCGCGGCTCTGCTTCCCGCTCCCAGGCCCAGGCCTCCTGGCAACGGACAGCTGACGGCCTTTCCCGTGGTGGTGGCCGTCAGAGCAGCGCCGGCGGGTGCGGAAGGGACGCGGGGTGAGCTGGTCAGGGGTGTGCCACCCACCCTGCGAGCACACGGCTCCCGACGGCCCGCCCGCCTTGGGGTATCTTGGGGTCATCACTGCAGGACCCCTTCTGCCCAAGACCTGCAGCTCTCAGGCTGTGGCCCCGTGTCTTCTCCATCCCAGGCCGAGCGTCACCTCCTCTCGGTGGTCACAGGTGTCCTTATGCTAACGCCAGACCTGAGTTAGGTCTCCCACGCACAGCGGATCGCAAAGCCATGTTTTCTGCATCTCCCCATGTGCACGAGCCACTCGCACATCTGGCGTGCTCTTACGGGGCTCAGACGAGGAAGCGCGGGGCACGGGTGTCTCGGCGTCCTAGAGCCAGGCCGGTCTCCCCAGGCTGCCCCGGGGGAAACCAGATGTTAGTAAAGGTCAGGACAGAGGCCCCCTTCCTGGGGAGCAGACTGCTGCGCACAGAAGCGTGTGCATCCTAGATCGCAGTGTGTGAGCGTCCTGGTGTCCTCGCCGTGCACCCCCGGTGCCCCGACCACACGGGACCCCACGGCCTCCCCGCTGGGGCGGAGGTCGTCCTGCCTCCACCTGTGCAGCAAGCTCCGCGCTGGGCAGGACAGGTGGCTCCCGGCCAAGGGTGATGCGGAGGTCACAGGGGCCCGTTCTGCGCCAGTGGCTCCCACATGTCCTATCCCTACCACGCTCTGTCGGAAGATCCTCTCCTCCTGTGCACACACGGGGCACTGACGTTCTTGCTCTCCTTCCGTGCAGGGCGTTCCTGAAAAGCCGCACAGTGCCTGAGTCTTCAACCCCCCCCCCCCGAAGAAGAGCACGATGTGGGAAGAGAGTCTGTGACACTGGATTGTGGCAAAGATGATCTTTTTTCCGCAGTGATCTATTTAGATTGGGCTGACTGTACCAGTGACTCCCGGAGAAATGACTCACCTGTCTTAGAATAGCAAGTGAAGAACTGCTTATCGCAACATGGTCCCTTTCTTGATGCGTCCATGCCTGCGTCCTGCTCTAGAGACGCGCCCCCCCCCAGCGGGTGCGGGCGTCAGGCGGGTACGGCTCCCCGAGTCCTCGATCTCATTTATGTTCTTAAAAGCAAGTTGCCAGGGATCCCTGGGCGGCGCAGCGGTTTGGCGCCTGCCTTTGGCCCGGGGCGTGATCCTGGAGACCCGGGATCCAATCCCTCATCGGGCTCCCGGTGCATGGAGCCTGCTTCTCCCTCTGCCTATGTCTCTGCGCCTCTCTCTCTTTCTCTCTCTGTGACTATCATAAATAAATAAAAATTGAAGAAAAAAGCAAGTTGCCATATTTCAAAGCCTTGAACTAAAGCCTAATTACCAGCTCCTGGTTTTGTACCCGTGCCCATAGGGGGTAGCTTGATGGTGCTTAACAAAGGTGAAGTGTGGAAAAATAGGAATAATATTTGTCCAAAAGATTTTTTTTCCCTAAGAATAGGGTTGTGTAAAAAGCGAAGTTGTGTGGCAGTGAGCCCCGGGAGGCCGCGCCCGCGCCGAGACGCTTCACACTCCGGTGCCGCATGAGCGTGTGCTTCGCTCCCCCTGTGGGATTCCGTGCAGACAATCCTACTGAGTGCAGAGGGCGGCGAAGGCCGTAGTCCTACCCTGGGATAGCCCGGAGTTCTCACCGCGGTACTTGACGAGTCTCATCCAAAATCCATGCCCACCTGAGAGGGAGTACCTGTCCGCCGTGCGTCTCAGTCTTAGCGAGCCAGAGTCATGGGCGGTGTTTCTTCAATCCTCCAGAACAGACACGGCGAGTTCTCCACAGCCCTATGGAGTTTGCAATCTGCGATCGCCTTGTAAAAAGACGCGTGCACATGTCACCACATTGAACATTTGGGGTTTCTGAATACTCAAAGACCTCGGTGAGCACAATGTCTTCACTTAATGGCATAGACCATATTAGACCCACTTTGCGAGGACTGGGTCGCAAACTTCAAGTGCAAAGTATATGAAAACCAATCTGAGCCTTGTATTCTCTTAAATATTTATTATTATTTTTTTTAACGTATGAGATGTTGAAGAGGGGTTCTCCATTCATTTCAGTGCTGCATGGAGGCAAAATTCAGCAATAATTTCTTTCAGTTCTGTCGCACCCTCCACCGAGCCCTGGTCCTTTGAAAATACTCCAGTTTTGTGGGTTTAGTAGATGTGTCATTTTTACTTAACAAATTTACCTTTTTGTATTTTGCAATTGAAATGTTTTTGTTTTAAATCCTGTGAAAGTGACTTCATTAGGAGACTCCTTTTGGCTAGAAACAGGCAGTGGGCAGGACGGGGGTCGGAGTCACTGGCATCCGCGGCCGCGGACGTGCGTGTGGTGGTCTCGTCGCGCCTGTTTGGTTTTGTTCTGACAAAAATACCATGGAATGAATTTTCGGTGACTGTGTAGCTAATCTGTTCTAGAGGAATTTTGTGTAAAAGTCACCGAGATCGTTCTGAACTTTGCACTGACCCCTTACATGTTTTCTGCAAGTGAAGATGGATGATTAGCCGTGTGTGAAAAGATTTCTCAAGGAAGAGGTCAGCATCTTACGAGAAACCAGAAGTTATTAGGTGAAAGCAGTAATTGAATCTTTAAAATATACTTGATCATGTACAAACAGTAAGTATTTTTGTCTCTGAAACTGGAAGTAAATCTTTATCTGTTAGAAATAATGTAGCCAAAAAAAATGTGAATCTGAAGAATTTTTTTGCCAATACTTTATAGCAAGTGTATGAACCAAAGTGATTTGTGTTTGTAAAAATGTAAAATACTCTGAACAAAATTTGCACTATATCAGATACAAACATCTAGTGAGATTCACATTCATACTAAGTTTTCAGCACTGTGTTCTTGTTGCATTCATTTTTTACTTTTATTAAAGGTTCAAAACCAACTCTTGTATTCACGAGCTTTTCTTTAAAGGGGCAGGGGGCTTGTCTGCGTGGGGTGTTAGAATTGGGAATGGGAAAATATTTGATGGTTCTTCAAACTTGACTCAGCGTTTACACAACCTCTTGGGGAAAGACCGCTGAAGTGTATTTTTTCCTCCCAGTGGGAGGTGAATTTGGGAGGTGACCGGCAGTAGGATCCACTCTGACTCCCTGCCCCACCACACACACACGGACGGGCGGGGTGACTCCCTGGCAAATAGAGCCCAGGAGGAAGGGACCATGCTGATGGTGACCCCCGCCCCCTACCGCAGACATGGCCCTCACCACTGAGGCGTGAAGTTCTGCCTAAGAGGAGCCCAGTTCATGCAGCTCCGGCACAGCAGTGCCCGCACTGAACCCGTCCAAGCCCAGGTGTGAGCAAGTCTGGGAGTGTGGCATGCAGTGGGTTGGCAGGCAAGGAATCCTGTCACCCTGTTGATCACAAGCAAGGCACGCTGTCCTAGAGTTCCTTGTCCCCTCTGTCAGCTGCAGGGGCCAGGCTGAGAGCAGGAGCTCCGTCACTGAGCTGCTTTTCAGGATCACCTGCTACCTCACCTCAGGATGTGTCTGGACAAGAAGTCCCTGACTTTCATGGGGAGGAATATTAGGGTAACAGCAGACCTCTCCACAGAGACCTGGCAGGCCAGAAAGGGCTGGCAGGATATATTCAGGGTCCTAAATGAGAAGAACATGCAACCAAGAATACTTTATCCAGCAAGGCTCTCATTCAAAATGGAAGGAGAGATAAAGAGCTTCCAAGACAGGCAGGAACTGAAAGAATATGTGACCTCCAAACCAGCTCTGCAAGAAATTTTAAGGGGGACTCTTAAAATTCCCCTTTAAGAAGAAGTTCAGTGGAACAATCCACAAAAACAAGGACTAAATAGATATCATGATGACACTAAACTCATATCTGTCAATAGTAACTCTGAACGTGAACGGGCTCAATGACCCCATCAAAAGGCGCAGGGTTTCAGACTGGATAAAAAAGCAGGACCCATCTATTTGCTGTCTACAAGAGACTCATTTTAGACAGAAGGACACCTACAACCTGAAAATAAAAGGTTGGAGAACCATTTACCATTCAAATGGTTCTCAAAAGAAAGCAGGGGTAGCCATCCTTATATCAGATAAACTAAAATTTACCCCGAAGACTGTAGTGAGAGACGAAGACGGACACTATCTCATACTTAAAGGATCTATCCAGCAAGAGGACTTAACAATCCTCAATATATATGCCCCGAATGTGGGAGCTGCCAAATACTTAAACGAATTATTAACCAAAGTGAAGAAATACTTAGATAATAATACACTTATACTTGGTGACTTCAATCTAGCTCTTTCTACCCTCGATAGGTCTTCTAAGCACAACATCTCCCAAGAAACGAGAGCTTTAAATGATACACTGGACCAGATGGATTTCACAGATATCTACAGAACTTTACATCCAAACTCAACTGAATACACATTCTTCTCAAGTGCACATGGAACTTTCTCCAGAATAGACCACATACTGGGTCACAAATCGGGTCTGAACCGATACCAAAAGATTGGGATCATCCCCTGCATATTCTCAGACCATAACGCCTTGAAATTAGAACTCAATCACAAGAAGAAGTTTGGAAGGACCTCAAACACGTGGAGGTTAAGGACCATCCTGCTAAAAGATAAAAGGGTCAACCAGGAAATTAAGGAAGAATTAAAAAGATTCATAGAAACTAATGAGAATGAAGATACAACCGTTCAAAATCTTTGGGATGCAGCAAAAGCAGTCCTGAGGGGGAAATACATCGCAATACAAGCATCCATTCAAAAACTGGAAAGAACTCAAATACAAAAGCTAACCTTACACATAAAGGAGCTAGAGAAGAAGCAGCAAATCGACCCGACCCCCAGAGAAGAAGAGAGTTAATTAAAATTCGAGCAGAACTCAACGAAATTGAGACCAGAAGAACTGTGGAACAGATCAATAGAACCAGGAGTTGGTTCTTTGAAAGAATTAATAAGATAGATAAACCATTAGCCAACCTTATTAAAAAGAAGAGAGAGAAGACTCAAATTAATAAAATCATGAATGAGAAAGGAGAGATCACTACCAACACCAAGGAAATACAAACGATTTTAAAAACATATTATGAACAGCTCTACGCCAATAAATTAGGCAATCTAGAAGAAATGGACGCATTCCTGGAAAGCCACAAACTACCAAAACTGGAACAGGAAGAAATAGAAAACCTGAACAGGCCAATAACCAGGGAGGAAATTGAAGCAGTCATCAAAAACCTCCCAAGACACAAGAGTCCAGGGCCAGATGGCTTCCCAGGGGAATTCTATCAAACGTTTAAAGAAGAAATCATACCTATTCTACTAAAGCTGTTCGGAAAGATAGAAAGAGATGGAGTACTTCCAAATTCATTCTATGAGGCCAGCATCACCTTAATTCCAAAACCAGACAAAGACCCCACCAAAACGGAGAATTACAGACCAATATCCCTGATGAAGATGGATGCAAAAATTCTCAACAAGATACTAGCCAATAGGATCCAACAATACATTAAGAAGATTATTCACCATGACCAAGTGGGATTTATCCCCGGGATGCAAGGCTGGTTCAACACTCGTAAAACAATCAACGTGATTCATCATATCAGCAAGAGAAAAACCAAGAACCATATGATCCTCTCATTAGATGCAGAGAAAGCATTTGACAAAATACAGCATCCATTTCTGATCAAAACTCTTCAGAGTGTAGGGATAGAGGGAACTTTCCTCGACATCTTAAAAGCCATCTACGAAAAGCCCACAGCAAATATCATTCTCAATGGGGAAGCACTGGGAGCCTTTCCCCTAAGA